CAATTTTTTCAAACGACTTACTCTACTTTAGATTATTCATCTCAGCCTTATTCTTACACCATGCCCAAGTCAAACCTCATATTCTGTCCCACTTTAACAGAAAGCTCTCTTCTTTTGTATCTTCTTCGTATTAAGCCTGTTTATTCGCCAGGGCCCGATGATATTCCTGGGTGCGTGCTTAGGTATTGCGCTAAGGCCCTGTGCAAACCTCTTCACAAGTTGTTTACCTTATCTCTAGAAACGTCCCAATTCCCAAATATTTGGAAGGAATCATTTGTTATTCCTCTTTTCAAAAAAGGTAACAAGTTAGAAGCCAGTAACTACAGAGGTATTTCTAAGTTGTCAGCTATTCCTAAGCTTTTTGAAAAAATTATTACTCCTCATTTGCAGCAGATCAATTATTTCTCCGTGTCAACACGGATTTATTAAACGTAGATCCACAATTACAAACCTTCTAGAGCTCACTACATTTGTGATAAAAGGCTTCAATAGTAGTTTTCAAACAGATGTCATTTACACTGACTTTAGTAAAGCATTTGACTCTGTAAATCACTTACTTCTTATTCATAAACTTGACCTTTTAGGTTTTCCAGTTGATCTGCTTAAATGGATTTCAAGTTATCTAAATGGCAGGTCACAAAGAGTCCTTTTTAAAAATTCAATTTCTGAAATTCTCCGTGTTACCTCCGGTGTCCCACAAGGGAGCCATCTGGGTCCGTTACTTTTTACATTATTTATTAACGATCTTCCCTCAATTATAAGTCATTCTCGCGTACTTATGTACGCAGATGATGTTAAGTTGTGCCTGCAGTATAAGGACATTTCCTGCCATTTAGACTTGCAATCCGATCTAGATAATTATCAAAACTGGTGCCGAGATAATTTACTAAATTTAAACGGCTCCAAGTGCAAGCTGATGACTTTTTATCGGGCCAATCCGATATACGCGACTTACACGTTAAGTGGCAGCTCTTTGGATAGAATAACTCTTGTAAACGATCTTGGCGTTCTCTTGGACCCTAAACTAAAATTTTCTAATCACATTTCGTCCATGGTTAAAAGAATTCGATGATCCTTATTTGACTAAAACTTTATTTATTTCGCTAGTCCGTCCGATTCTGGAGTATGGGTCTCCCGTCTGGAATACATATTGGTCGTATTGAATCTGTACAAAAAAACTTCCTTCTTTTTGCTTTACGGCGCCTAAACTGGGATGCAAATCTTATCTTACCTTCTTATTCTAGTAGACTTCTTTTGATTAATTTACCATCCCTAGCCAACCGTAGAACGATGCTTGGTACTATCTTTATTTATAACCTTATACATGGTGATATTGACTGCCCCGACTTGTTAAGTCGGCTAAACTTTTCTGTGCCAAGTAGATTAACTAGAAATTATATTCCCCTAATTTTAAATCATTGTAGATCTAACTATGCCTTGCATGAGCCTTTCAGAGTATTATGTTCTGACTATAATAGACTTTTTCCTGTAATATCAAATCTTGACTCTCTGCCGCTCCTAAAACGATTAATACTTGCTTCATTGGCACAAGATTGATCTAACTATTACTTTTTCCCCGGACCTTTACCTTTATTTTCCTATCTCGCGTCTATCCTATCGCGAATCGTGCCGTACGATACACGGCTGCGCCCCTCGGTCGGTTGGGCGGGTAAGTGGGCCGTGGGACTCCGCGCGAAAAAAAAAAAAAAAAAAAAAACAGTCATATGACTGGTTCTGAGTAATGCGGCCCTGAGAATTATTGCTGGGTTGGAAGGTCGTTGCGTTGTATGCTGGTTCTGCTGTATCCCGAGACAAGCCTTTTGCGAGATGATTTGGGTGCACGGAGAGTTTTTCTTTGCTTGTCTATTTCATCTTTTACTGTAAGGTCTCTGTGGATGTTTTGCTTGCGAATATACCACGGTGCCCCAGTGATAGTCCTCAAGGTTTTCGATTGAGCGCGCTGTATGATGTCAATGTTTCTGCTGCTCACGTTCCCCCATAGCTGGGAGCCATATGTCCAGATAGGCTTGAGAAAAGAGTTGAAGAGCAGGAACTGGTAGTCCAGACGCAGAAGCGATCGAATGTTTAATATCCAGTGGAAGCTGCTGGCTTTTAGTTTTAGATGCAGTTTCTTGCATTCGATGTGTCTTTTCCAGGTTAGTCGTCTGTCGAGGACTTGGGGAATCGGCGTATTCTTCAATGATAGTGGAGGGCATGTTTGCCATTTTTGTTCATTTAAACGGTCTTTGTTTTGATCATTCCTATTTGAGCTTTTGAGCTGCATTTCTGGCCGTAGCTTAAAAATTTTTGAAATTTTGTAGATTGTGACTAAATACATAACTTTCGAAATTCGAAAGCTATGTCGATTTGGGGCTGCATTTTGCCATCGTTTCTAAGGGAGCTATAGAAATTTGTTGTCCGATTTTGATAAAACTTAAATGGTATTGATATAGTATGTAATTATTATATCTCAAAGGAATATTTTGATAAATAGAACAACAGCAAAATATTTTTTTTTTCATTTCTATATTTTTTAATTTTTTTATTTTCCTATGAGAGCTATATGATATGATATGATTTATTGTTTAAACAAATTTTTTTAATAGAGTTGAAAAATTGTAATACAACCATAAAGTTATTTTTATAATGTTGGCTCTAATTAAAATACAAGATAGTTAAGCAGTCATCAGCAAAAACGTCAGCAATCTTCCGACTCAGTGAAATAAGCTTGCACCAATATTTAGTTTATATAGGAATAACTGGTATTATCCGATGCATTTACCCATTAAGAAAATTTTAGAGGTTTCTGTAAACGCGATAATTTGAAATGCAAAGGATGCAAGACAAAGTCCTATTTCAATATTCATGACCAAAAATGTTCAGCATTGTGGATCATCAGGTTCGCATCATTTTTTGGACGGCTGTCGGCTACCAGCCTTGCCAGTAATTTAATGGATCTTATGTTCTGGCTCTATTTCCTTGCGGAAACTTGTTTAAGGCCGGAGGTCCTAAGCTCTAAAGTTATTCCAGATAAGTACACAATATATAGGTTTGACCGTCCCTCTACACGGGGAGGTGGAGTCTTAAGTGGACTCAAACCTCCGTCAGAGAAGTTAGTTGGTAAATTGTTTATTTTATTCTCGCAGAATCCACTTCAACAATCAACAATTCAACAATTTTCGCTAATGTTTTGATTAGCCATAGCCGTTCAGATCAGCTGTTATCGGATGGTAGATGGTGGATTTGCTCTGTGAGAAACGGAGTTTCTTTTGTCAAAAATCCCAAACGTTTCGAATGGATGGACTCCATTGATTTCCGCTGCGGGGTCCACATCTAACACCTTAAAAAAGTATTCCCTAGTACCTGTTGTAAACAACAAATATAAGTCTGGGGACTTACTCTCGTTCTCCAAGGTGTTCTGCTTCATTTTGTGAGTACGGTATGCGCCTAGGAAAGAGTGGAGCAACTCTTAATGCTGCCACACGAATGGAGCAGTAATTAATTAATTATTGCAGCAATTTTTGATTTGGAGCCTCCCGTTTTAAAGAGATACGCGCCATTATTTTTTAAATTTTCGTAGTGAATGTTTAAATTTTCACTGTCAAGAATCGCCTAACTATCGCATAAAAAAGTCCGTCAAATTTGGAAGGGGAACTAAATGGGAATTTTCGGAACGGCAAAACCTTATGGACCATTCGTTCAACGGATGGTGGATGGATCTCTGTGGGAAGACGGCATAACTTAAAAAATATTTTGAATTTGCTTCTGAAATTTTAGGAACACATTTTAGGATAGTTCGGGGTTGACATATATGCTAAAAAAAATCGATATTTAAAAAACTCTAAGACAGGCTCCCCCTAATGAACTTGATTTTTTACCATTTAGACAATATTGGGCAATTGCTGTTCGAGTTTTTTCAGAGGGCTGGCATAAATCAGCAGACATATTAGTCCGATTTGGTTGTTCGCTCAGATCACTTACAGTCTGTTACCATAAATCATTAATGGCGCTGTTGTGCTCATTTTAAATGTTTGCAAAATACAACAGGCTAGAATGATTAGCCACAGCTGTTCAGATCAGCTGTTATCGGATGGTGGATGTGGTCATTTGGTATTGGAAGATCACATTTGTCAAAAATCCCAAGCGTTTCGAACGGATGGACTCTATGAGAAGAGGGTATTAAGCGATGTTGATAGAACACCAGCGTTAGTGTAATTCGACTATAAGTTTACACGATTGTTTGCAAATACTCTTATAGATGTGAATCTCCTAATCTCACCAAGCCCCCATCCCCAGGCAAAATAAACTATTGTGCAAAATTAAGAATTCATAGAGTTTTCTGAAGGTGTTTTTTTATTCCATCAAACTTTCTTAAAATGCTCATTATTGCTTTTGTTTTATTAGATAATGGTTGAAAACATATGTAAACTTTAATATATTAGCTTGCAAGTATTCTGTATACAAAATGAGTGTGAAATCTAGTTCTAGATAAATATGGCATTTAATTTTAATTGTTTGGTAAAAATGGTTGCTCGGAAAAAACACCGACTAAATATTTCATAGAAACGTTCGGTTCAAGGCATCTTTAGACTTTTTCCGCTTGTAGAATAACTTACACCATAAAACAACCCTTTCAGCAATTTAATACAGACATGTTCTAAGATTTTTTTTAAAAGCTCGGGTATATATATTATAATCAGGTAGAAGTTTAATGAAAGCCCATTCTTCAAAATGTTCTACCGAACTTGTTGGCTGGTAATCTATTTTCGTTCCCTGTTTCTGAATGGTGGTCTGATGGATTTCGAATTGAAGCTTTCGAGAGTCCCAACCAATCCCTTGGGTATGCTCTGTGGGTGTACCGTATTACCGCTGTTGCAGTTGCGTCCCCTGTCTGAACAGGCTTTATGAATGTTCCTAGTCATCGCACAAGAATTTGTAGTACCGATAGATGGATTGTCTTAAAAACGTTGCTCATCTCTGGTTGTTGCTTATCGCATCTTAATATCGATAACGTTTTCATACAATAATGTGTAATATAATGAGTAGTGTAATACAAAAATAAAAAAAAATCATGTTTAGTGCTGTGCGATTTCATGAATTGGTACTTCTTGAATGTTTTATTAAAAAGAAAATTGTAAGCAGTGTTTCCAAAGGTTGAATTAAGAAGTGTTCTCCGCCCAATGGCTCAGATATACATACAAAATTAAAACTGACCCCGCTATAAAAATTTTAGAGACGGCTTCTATGTTGAATAATATAATAAATATGTAATTAAATTATTATAATCCTTAATTAAACAGAACTTTAACTTTCTTGTACATTTTTATAATTGCTGCATTAATTATCCTGAATTCAAACGAAATTTAACCCCCTGGTGTATAATGGGATATGTGCATATTACATATATGTAGTATGTATTGTATTATGATTCTTACGTACCTAGAATGTTTGTCTCTTAAATATGAGTTCAAAAAACGAACTATTTGAACTAATAATAATTAACCTTGTTTGTTTCTAAAGCATTTGGTACGAATAAAAAATATTATTGTAAGGGGCGTGGTATACACTAAAGAAATATGTATGGACTGTGGTTGCTGCAAAACAGGAATATGTACATATTTATGTGGGTGCACCAACATGTACTGGCACACGCAAATGCAAAATGAACATATAGATACTATATTTGAAAAGTACCCATCCATAACTTACAAAAAGCTTTAAATTGTCCCTTAGAGGATTCATCGCGAGTGCATTTAAAGTTTGATCTTTATTGCGGTCTATTCCTGTTAATAAACCAGCAACAGTCTTCCACAAAAGTGATGTTGGGCGCTGGCCGCCACCCTTCACGGCACTCTTATAGTACGAGAGTAGCAAATAATTGTGCAAATGTACATACATATGTATATAGAAGGGAAAATAAAGCGGCTCCGACAATGGAAAAACATCAAAACATACACATTTGGTTTAAATAACGGGAATAAATAGTTGCAAGAGCATAAAACATTTACGATAGGTTTAGTATACAGTATTTCACAATTTTTATGACGCAGAACCATATCAAGGTTTAACATTTGTTATAGCTATTTATGACATTTAAAATATAATAATTGTGCAAGTAGCAAAATCTTTTGTTTTGTATAAAAAAAATTTTTTTTTAAGATTTTTTGTTATTTTTTTTAATGTGTTGTGGTTTGTTAGCTGTAAAATTTACTAATAATATCCGCTTCAGATTTAGTTAGTTGAGCGAAATAAGTTTAAAACAAGAAAGGAAGCAAACTTCGGCAAGCCGAAGTTTATATACCCTTGCAGTAATTACAAAACAATGAGCTCAAAGAAGTTTGGTCGACTAAAATAGAATTTTTAAAATTTGAAAAGCTTAATCATTGACCCATCTTTGCGCACTTTTTTTTGCCCACCTTTAGTTTTAAAAATACGGAATCTTTGAAAATTTTCAAACTTTTTTGAAAACATAAAAGTTGACTTTTTCCAATTTTTTAGAACATGCCCACCTCTTAAAACAGGCATTTTTAACATAAACCGGGGGCAAACATATTTTTGTAAAAAATGAAATTTTAAAAGACTTTTGCTCAGCCAAGCGCGCAGAATCTGTAAAATTCGTGCCTTTGAAATATTTTTATTTTATTTTACTGGAATCACTTGTTAACAGGCCAATTTGATTGAAGTTTGACATAAAAATTAACCATATGGCAGAAACAATTTGGTTTGGCCAACATCTGATTTATGTCAAATTATAATTATGTTAAGAAATCTATACGCACATGGCGCGGTTGTTAAAAAAGCGAAAAAGATACTATAACAAACCATAACTGATAACAAGTGATTTAAGTTAAATAAAGCACTTTACAAATACCAAAGTTATGGAATTTCTGATCTATCAGTTATATGACGGCTATAGGATATAGTCGGCCGATTCCTATGAAATTTGGTAGGTCGGTTTGATTAGCCAAATATAAAACCCATAGTAAATCTCACTTCCTAACTATAAAAACACCAAAGTTATGGCATTTCCGATCGTTCAGTTGTATGGCAGCTATATGATACAGTCGCCCGATCCGGCTCGTTCCGACTTATATACTACCTGCAATAGAAAGACAACTTTTGGGATAGCAGATAGCTTTAAAACTGAGGGACTAGTTTGCGTAGAAACAGACGGACGGACGGACGGACGGACAGATAGTCATGGCTAGATCGACTCTCCTGGTGATGCTGATCAAGAATATATATACTTTATAGGGTCGAAAATGTCTCCTTCACTGCGTTTAAAAAAGTCTGCTGCGTATTATTTGAAACAATAAAGTAGATGGAAAAATTGCTGTTAATAACAGGGACCGCAGCGGTTACAATTTAAAAAACATTCAAGTTTTTACCTTTCTTGTATATTCTATTATAATTTAAGATTCTACAAAAAAAAAAGAAAAGAAAGCTAACTTCGGGCGTAGAAACAGACAGACGGAAGTGTGCACTGCGTTGCACACTTTTGACCAAAATTTTAATACTCTCTGCAAGGGTATAAATATATATTATGGATCAGCATCACCGCGAGTTTATATGTCTATGTCCGAATTTCGGCTGTCCATCCGTTTCTACGCAAACTAGACTATAAATTTTAAATCTATGTACATATATGCATGAAACTTTCTCAAGACTTGTTCTTCGAAAAATTTATAGTAAAAATCCCAAGAAAAGAGATATAATTTTATAGATTTTTACATTTTTAAAATAGCTGAAAGGGAGATAACTTTAACTTCCGGAGTTTGTTTCCTTTCTTGTAATTAATTTAAGGATATTATACAAAAAATTACTTTTGATAAATATATAGAAAAATACTTACAAAAGTGTTGTTTTATGATTTTAAGACTATCAAGATGGAGTGGGGAAAAACATTTGTAAGCGTCTTTTTCTGCTTTTGTGGGATACATTATTATTTTATATCAGATACTATCTTATAAACCAAGTAGTCAGCAAAGAAGATGAAATATTTTTTGTCATTTTTAGCGAATTTTAAAGGCCTACTGGAACAGCTATCTTTGATTGCAGAAATATTTTCAATATTATAATATTACAATATTACTAAGTAAATGAAACAATAAAAACCGAAAACAATTGGCATGTATTCAATTTTGCACCTTTTATAAAAAAATATTAAGAAATTCCGTATTAATATTTGGACCGAAGACCCTATTATCTATAACATTTTTATACCCTTGCAGAGGGTATTATAATGTTGGTCAAAAGTGTGCAACGCAGTAAAGCAGACATATCCGACCCTATAAAGTGAGTTTGCGTAGAAACGGACTGACGGACGGATAGACGGACGGACAGACGGACATGGCTAGATCGACTCTCTTGGTGATGCTGATCAAGAATATATATACTTTATATTGTCGGAAATGTTTCCTTTCGGATTTAGTAATATTTAAATACTACAGAATTACGGTTTTAATTAAATTGAACTTATACGCCTTAATAAAAAAATGTATTTAGCTGTTTTTCTATTTATTAAAATATTTCTTTGACATATAGTATTTATATACTATATCAGAACTACGCTTTTAGTTTTATCCGAATCGGACAATAATATCATATAGCTGCCATATCAACGATGGCAAAATGCAGCGCAAAATCGAAACAGCTTCATTGTTTTTGGTAATATAGTTATAGAAATCGAAACGTAGTCGGCTCGCCAAAGTTAGCTTCCTTTCTTGTTTTTTTTATATTTAGTCGACCCACATTCCCATTTCCCAGTTGTTTTCCGATCTTTAACATGACAGTATGTTTTAGAGAATAAAAGTATTTTTTAAACGAGGACGGAAGCTAACTTCGGCAAGCCGAAGTTTTAATACCCTTGCAGACTTTGCCGAAATTGCTAAAACTGAAAAAGTAGCCAAAGGAATAAGGTATACATAAATAAACTAGATTTTCATCGTTTAATGTCAATTGCTTTTATACTGCAAAAATGTCATATAAAAATAGAAAAAAAGGGATACTTTCGCAGCCTTTAACTATTTTTCCTACGGAAGCTATAAGAAATAGACGTCCGATCGGCAAGCGCTTTTACCCTAATCAAGATATGCGTAAATAAATAAGACTTGGAAAAATTTATGTCAGTAGCTTACACACTACGCGAAAAATTCAGAAAATCATCAAATTTGGACCGATTTCACCCTGTTGTTCCTATGGGAGCTGTAGGATATAGACGTCCGATCGTCACGTGCTTTTATCATAATCAAGGTATGCATAAAAAATACGATTTGGAAAGATTCATGTCAATTGCTTATATACTGTGCGAAATATCCTAAAAATCATTAAATTTTAACCGATTTCACCCTATTGTTCCTATGGGAGCTATAGGATATAGACGTCCGATCGCCAAGCGCTTTTACCCTGATCAAGGTATGCATAAAAAAATAAGATTTGGAAAGATTTATGTTAATAGCTTTTACACTGCACAAAATATCTTCCATTCTTGAAAGTTATATCCGATTGTTCCTATGGGAGCTATAGGATATAGACGTCCGATCAGCACGCGCTTTCACCTTGATGAAGGAATGTATAAAAAAATACGATTTGAAAAAATTTATAGCAATAGCTTTTACACAGCGCGAAATATTCTGAAAAACATAAAATTTGGACCGATTTTACCCTATTTTTCCTATGGGAGCTATAGGATATAGACGTCCGATTGCCACGCGCTTTTACCCTGATCAAGGTACGCATAAAAAAATACGATTTGGAAAAATTCATGTCAATAGCTTTTACACTGCGCGAAATATCATCAATTTTTGCTAGATATATCCGATTGTTCCTATGGGAGCTATAGGATATAGACGTCCGATCGGGGCGATTTTCAAACTTGATCTGCGTACACATGTTTTAGGACGAGTGTGAAAGTTTCAGATCGCTAGCTTTTAAACTGAGCTCGCAAACGGTATTGAAACAGACGGACAGACGGACAGACGGACATGGCTATATCGACTCCCCTATTGATCCTGATCAAGAATATATATACTTTATAGGGTCGGAAACGTCTCCTTCACTGCGTTACAAACTTCTGACCAAAATTATAATACCCTCTGCAAGGGTATAAAAAAGGGATACTTTCTCAGCCTTAAA